TTATTTTGCTATGTTGAAAATAGAAATACTGTTTGGCTCCTTGGTTAATATAGATTTTTCATCCTGCCAGTCTTCTTCTAGTCCTCTTCTGCACCTGTTTCAGTTTGAATCAATCTTTATTGAACACCGTGTACAAAGGTTCCAGAGGAGTTCTTATCGGTGCCTGGTGCCACAACATGAACATTTCTTGGAAATGTTTCATTACCTTCTCTGACACATTACTGCAGAACTTGGCTTGCCTTGATATCACAGTGTCCTCTTTATCTCACACCAGTGGCTTGGAAATATTTTCTCACAAAAAAAAATCCTGAGATTTTTCTTGTTCACCTGTTTCTTCAAATTTATGAGGCCTCATTTTATGCCAGAAACTCCTTCTAGTCCCTAAATGTATAACCTGGCACTTTATAATTTTGAATTTCATCCCTTATCTATTATTCTGATCCTCCAGGCCACCCATTTCTTTTAATTCTCCTCTGTGTTGGTGATGTCTCCCCACTTCCTATCTGCCACAGATTTAATTTAACTTTGACTTCTTGTGCTTTGGCCTGTAATAACATGAATGAGTAAGTCTGATTACACGACTGGTCCTCTCCAATTCCCCAGCGATGCCTTCTAGCTCCACACAGCCCAGCTCAGGGGACCCTACTTGACACTGAGCCCCTCTCCCACCGCCCAGCTCTTATACTCATCTCCCTCTTCTCCTGTTTAATTAATAAATTTCCCATGTGGCTGCACAACAAATGGTTTAATGAAGTCCAGATAACTGATTTTTAGACAAGGGAAATATAGTAATCTTATCAAAGACAGATATTATCAGGTGAGTCTGGCATTTTTATGCTGTTTAACATTTGTCTGTATTTCTTCTCATTTAAGTTTTGTTATAAATATATAGTGAAAACTTTTTGAAGATGCCTCTAGTTGCCCCGACACTATTTCTCTTCTTAATTCTAAATATAGCTTGAAGTAAAAAAATTATTGTTTCTTGGCTAATTTTTTTCTTGTCTCTTATACATTGTCTATCTACTATTCACATCTTTAGAGTTCACATTTAACATTTTCTCTCTGGGATGCCAATTCCACATAACTTTGGGTCTTCTAAACTCCTTTACATAATGCCCATCAAATTTTCAGTCCTCTCTGTCCTACTAACTAGCCCCTGGACTTCATATTTGTTCCTTATAAATGCAAAACACAGTGATAACCTGTTTTAATTCCTGATTTATTTTTATAATTCAGTTCAAGTGAATGATAATTCCATCAAGAATCAAACATATGAACGTAAATTGGTGGGTTTTTTTTTAAGCTGATAGAATTCTGAAGTTCCTGGTGTACATTCAGCTGAAGGAGAAAAAGCAACTGAATTTCTGCAGGTTTACAGGTACTTGTGCTGGAAGGGAAATGCATCAGCTGACACTGTAGATTTTCCCAGCTTTCATCGCTGTCAGAATGCCTAGATCACTTAAAAATAAAAGTAAATGCTTTTTAACAGCACAAAATTTTGTGTCTCTCACAATGTAGGAAAATTTAGACCACCTTCTTCAACAAGGTGAGAAAATTAAATTCTAAACAAAAGCTTGATTAATATTGTAATTTCAAAATCTGCTCATGATAATGTGCTAGGACCTTTTAAAAGAAATATGGATACAAACTTACTAACTAGACATACACCTTCTAATTGCCCCTGTTTGATGAAGGGACTATTTTTATTGGCTTTTGGGAAGTATTTCAGTCTTTAGGGATACGTGTATGTTTGAGATTGTTCTGTATTCACCCATAGACTCAACATCTTCACATTACTTCTAAAACTGAAGTAGTGATCTAAATTACTATTGTTTTATGCTCCTTGTGATCCTCAATCACTGCAGTGTCAATATCCTCAATTTAGGTTAATTTTAGATTTCCCACTAGGATAATTACATGAGGACAGATATTTCTGATATTGAAGTGAAATATGGAAAACAACTGTTACACTGACATTCGCTTTACTCAGGTATTTGCAGGACCTGCACAAATAATGGGCTATAAATCAGAAATCTTTATAAAATTCAGTGCAATGTGAAAGAAATTATGTTACAAGCTCTGCAGAGAGAATCCAAGTGTGAGGTTGAGGTATCATTGCTGTGTATTACCTGTGTTGCAGTTATGAAGAGAAACTTGTGGTCCAGGGCTCCAGATGCTACTTAGAACAAGAGTTAAGGAAAAATTCAACTCTACTCACAGCAAAAGTAAAACTGAGGAGCTCAGGTCACACATACATTGTGTGTTACAGCCTCAGCCACTAAAACTCCATAGCTACATTCCAGTTTGATTTTGTAGTTACAAGAAGAGATTCATAAAGCCAAAGCTGTAGGTTCCCTCTAGTGTCAGTGTCTTCGAGAGGCAGAGAAGCTCCTTCGAAGGATATGTCACTCCATCTCACTCATGATTCCCATGTTAGATGAATTAATCTCTTTTGGAAGTGTTAATCTGTCACCACTGATGATAGGGATGATATACAAGAATGCTTGAACATAAGTACTTTGAAGACTAAGGCTAGATAAAATAGACCCATCCCAGCACACACCCATAATTCTGCAGCCTGAAGCATCTTTATACCCATTCATTTAAAAGTTTGGAACACAGGCACTCATCCTTAGCATCTGTATTCAAGGATGGAGCCTATATTTTTACACTGAAAATATGTTAATAAAAACCAAAAATATTCACTGGATAGGTAACACAGAACAGGGAGATTTTCTCCAAGGGATGAAGATTAAGCTATAGAGTAAGTATCCTATTTGTACATCCAGCTTCATGAGGAGTAGGCAAATCTGCCCTCCAGTTTCTCCCCAGATGTTCTGTATCCTTATAATTTTGGATGTATGTGCAGTGAGGTTTTTAATTCCCTGAGGCTGTGATAGAAGCTGAAAGTGCCACTGCATCTTGGATGTGAATTCTACCTGCCAGTAGACTAGTATGCTAAATATGGGCATCGACATCTCCCCTTCTTCTGGGAATGCTTCCTGAATGAAAAAATGTGTTCAAATCAATTTCTTTAGGAAGTAGATGAGAGTCCCTTCTAGCAGCAAATGATGCCATCCCTGCTTCCCAAGAGTTGCATCCATATGGCTGAACATTGCAGGTAACCAACTACACTCAACGAAATGTAGACACTTTGCAACACTCTTTGTTTCCCCCACTGGAAAGCAGTAGAAGGTTCCTTGTTGGGCCCAAGTGGTTTGGGGGATCATTATTTTGGGGTGACTGATTCAGTTCATATGTTATACAAGTCTTGGTTCCTCATCTGGGGCTTCTGCAGACTTCCTATTAGCACCTAAATGCTCAAATGCATCTCTCATGGTTAAGCCCCAACCTCCGGTGTCTAGGTTTATGGAAGCAGGTGAGTCAAAAAGAAAAAGGGCAGGAGAAGACTGGGAACCAGATGTAAAACTAAGACAAGCATTTAAATAGTAAAAAAAACCCCAACAACCAAACACTCACCCCATCCCTCCACCCTTCCCCAAACCCTCTGTATGAATATAAGCACTAACGATGTACCTTAGAAACCCCAGAGATTTCCTGAAAATAAGGGCCTGGCTCTGCCACCCCTTTCAGGATGAGATGCAGATTATAGCAACTGCTGGCAGGGGAAAGTACAGCTTGGTGTGAGTAGGACAGTGAGAAATGCACAGAGGCTATGCATGTAGCAGAATTCAAGAGTGACATGACATGGATAGAAATATTCAGCATTATTGCAATTAATGGTGAAAAAGAACTGTTGAGAGAGCATTAAATCTTGTGCTTCAAGGACAGCTTCCAACAAAGAATGACCAAGAGGAAGTTTAATAGGGCACTGCAAATTACTCCAAGTATTTTCCTACAAGAACTTTACATCTTCCCCTGAAGTATCTGATGGTGGCCAGTGTCAAAGGTCACATGCTAGACTGGCAGGAGCTTCTGTCTGCTTTAGTCTGGCAATCTGTATAAAGACTGGATTTTAAAAAATCGGTGACAGTCAATGTCTAGGTTCTTTTAACAGAGTATAAATTTAGCATCCTCCTTCTGAATTAAGCATTTAGGTGGCAGAGTTAATGTTATATCAATTCGAATGAAAGACACTAGGAGAAAATAGAAGGGGAAAAGATTAATATTTGAAAATTAGAAAGTAATTTGCAGTAACAGAGGTGGACGACTGCTTGAAAAATGCATAAATTAAGACCTACAGAAAAAAAGAATCGCTCCTCGTAGAGAAGTCATTAGGAGTGATATAATAATTTACATTTTACATAAGTGACATTCTTTTCACATTTTTTTCTCTTTTCCACTAAAGGTGAGATCCCTATAAGCAGACAATTCAAACTTCTAGCACTTTGCATTGATATTGATGAGGACTGCTGGCACTCAGCATCTCTCTGTAGGTGTTTGTTGTGTTGGACCTGGCCTTTGATTTCACTGCCAGCAAAACAACAGAAAAAATTGCACTGGCTTCAGGGAAGCAGAATTCGTTCCTGCTGGCCAGGCATAGCTTAGCAAAGGATTTATACTGTACACATGCAGGGAGAATCTTTTGATTTATTTCAGGTAACAAAGATGTCTTTTTCCAGCCATCTCTGTATACATACAAATATTTGAAAAACAGAAGCAAGTGAGAGCCCTGGCCTCTTGAACATATATATTCTTCCAGACCCTTGCCTGACCCCAAAATTACGCTTTCCTGTCACTGACCCATCTAATCACCTTTGTGCTGCTTTCTCAGAATAGGCCTGGGAAAACCCATCAGCTTTGCAATGTAATCTGAAGGTCAACACATTCTCATTTTCTTTGCCAATTCTTTCTTAGGATCAAGACTTAGTATCAGATCACTCAAAAAAAGTTACATTTTTTATAGCTGTTGCTTTCAGAATTTCAAACAGCATTCAAAATTTTGTGTAATTAACTAGCAGTTTTTATATTTGAATGTAAGAGGAATTAGAACAATATTTTTTGCAGAATAACACAAGAAGGTCCTTTTTCTTTAACAGAAAAGAAGAAATACTGGCAACGTCTGATGATGACACATGGAATAATTCAAGGACTTCAGGTACAACACCCGGTTTAATTAGTTCTTCCTTACTGCACATGTTAATTAAAAATAGTGTAACAATCAACCTCATGGAAATTATTCAACTATGTTTTTGTTAACTCTTTAGACACAAACATCCCAGAGATTGTTTATCCACAAGCAGAAGACAAAGACATCAAAACAGCTAATAAAAATATAAAAGATAAAAATGCAGAACATAACCAGGGTTATCACAAAGATGATGAAAAAGAATTAGAGTTGCTGGTAAGTGTTATACAATTATATCTACAGTATTAAATTATTTGAATCCATTTACGCTTCAAAGCTGGTGAAATGCCCCCTTTTAACAGAGCTGACTGATGTACTAATTTACAAATGTAAAGCCTTGGTCTGTACTTACACTGAATCTCTAACTGATTCAACAATAGAAGGTGCTTTGATTTCAGTATAGTGCATCAACTTTTTCTGGTCTTAAATTAATGACTTCTCCATTTTACTTCCTTACCAGAGGCTCTAAATGACAGTTCGAAGGAATTAGAAGAGTAGCATTTAAAAAATCTCCCCTCCCAGTCTCTAGGATGGGAAGATTCTTAAATACATGCTTTATATTTAATAAAATTTTTGTATTTATAGTACTGTTTGCTTTTGGGGTTTTTCAAAGGATAACTATGTAATATGCTATATGAACAAACCAGGTGTATATATATATTTATATTAGCAGATTTTTCTATATCAGTTTGACATTAAATTTTTTACAATGAATTTCACACTCAGTGAACATTCAATCTATTTGGATTTGTGTGTGCATGTGTGTGTGTGGTTTGCCTTGCATTTTTCAGTATGAAAGAAAAAATGGCAATAAATGAGACACGTACAGCAATCTATTATTCTCAGTGTCTGTTCTCAGCTCATATCATTTGGGTGCATAGATTCATAATCATAGATTATAATAGCTATCACCTGTGAAAATGTGAATGCTGAATCAGACAGGAGAGGAAGATGAGAACCATTCTTTTTTTTCTTATTGACGGAGAGAAAAATATCCTCACATTTGAATATAATTTTTTCTTATATTTTGCTTTAAAAAAAGTTTAAAATTGTTGCCTATTGTAGGACCTTTCACTGCCTGAAAGTCAACATCGCTTTTTTTTTGATGGTGAAACATAAAATCCCTTGTTGTTCTCAGTCCACCCTTTTATAAAAAACAGGATCAAATATAACCATTTGTTTATCAATTGCCAGACTTGTCTGTACAATAAATGAAGGGGGAGCTGTAATTTAGATGTTAATTTGCACTATGAGCTCTTTAATGAATTAAACAATGAAGGCTTATAATAGATGGAAATACAACCAAATCTTTGAAACGCACAGGCATTGGCTCACAAGACAGCTGTGCAGTTGACAAGTAACATGAGCCTTATGTGAGAAGAAGGGGAAATCGTAAGATTTGCATATAATTATTGAGATCATGCAAATGTCAGTTATAAGGAGGGGAAAAAAACACAGGCATCTCACTGTTAAATCCTGACAGTTGGCATCACCGAAGAACTCAAATACACTTGAGCACTGGTTGGCAGAGGGTCATTAAAACAGAATTTGCAGAGACATTAGCTCCCTCACTTTTCTTTGAGTGACGTTTTACTATTAATAGTTTGCAGAGGCTTTGCAGAAAACATATTAATAAGAGAAACTGTAATGGGGGTATCTACAGCAAGTGCAAATGTATAAAGGGGTGCCCAAGAAGCTAGCCTCTAATTGATCAGCTAGTGCTATCAGTGTGACTGTGCTAACGTGAGAAGAGAGTGCAATGACAAGCGGGCATTGCTAAATAATACAATAGCATATTTGGGAGCTAGGAGGGAGAGTGATTAGTTTCTGGCCTTTTACTTTGCTAATCTCGTTTCCAACTCATGTCTTACCAGATTGTCTAAAAACAGTCTGGTTTGAAGCCTGTAAAATAGTCCCTGAGAGAAACGAAGCACAGATAATCCTTACAGTGTTTGTCAGTGTGAAATGTGTCGTTGTTTCACTGGACAATACTGTACATTACCAGGCTTTGATGTACTGTATCAATGCCATCATTTAAGCGACAATCCTCCCCCCTTTCCCCACGCCTTCCTCTCTCCAAACCTAGAGCCAAATGTATACAGAATGAATTAACCTGCCTTTAAATGAATATTCTCTTTAGATTTAACTTGTATAAAATGCACTAGCAGCTTACTGAACTCATGAATAGAGAGGTTTCTGAATGCTACTTTATTTCCTGCTCCTTTCAGCACCACCATAAAGTTCATTACCTATGTTAAAAAGCACATGCGATGTAAATTTCACAAGTGATTTTAGAACATTTCATAAAAGCTTTGTTACTGAAAACAAAACTTTCCATTATGAAATCCTGCCTTCTTCTTTTGGTATATTTTTGCAAAGCACTTTTTGATAATTCTTTTCTATTCTATTGTTTCAGTTTAATCAGCACTTCACAGGAGCTAGAGGTACCTGTTCCAGAGATGAAAGGAATTTATACACAACAGAACCAGTTAATTTTACAAGTGAAACTGAAAAATTGGTGAAAAAGGCAACCTGTAGAGAAAGAAGCAGTGACTTGCACCCTGTGCCTATCAGTTCCTCATCTGAAAGCACTTCACAAGCCATAGGAGGAGAATTAAAAGATAACTTTAAGTATTCTGTAAGAGATAATAGTGAGCTATCAGGGAAGAAAGTCACTGCTGGCTCAGTAAACAGCGGTGAGGGGTCTTTGGAACATACTGGTACCAGTGAAAGACTTTTCGTGGCAAAATATTTTCCTGCAACAAAGCAGAATGAGGCTAACAATATTATGGCTACTGTCTCAAGCTGGCAAGGAGAGAGCCACACAGATATTTCAAAAGGGGAAACAGACAGTGCCTCAGGAAGTAAGATGATGGAGAGGTTATTCATCAATGAGAATGCTGCTGATACCTCAAAAGGGGCCTGTGAAATGAGACCAGAAACCATTTCTCCAGAGCATGATGAATCCATGCAATTAAATGCATGCATAGCAAGGACGCTGGATGGCAATGCTAATCCAGCTCCAGAGCACCAGGTGCCACAAATGTCTCACCAAACTCTGGATTCATTGATGTCAGATGCTGACAAAAATGAAGGAAAAATCAAGATGATTGAAAGCAAAGTTCAGGTACATTTAAGAGGAGATTTATATGCCGGCACTTTTGCACATGCTGATGTTTCAATAGATTCCACACAAAGCCAATATACACAAAAAAATGGAGTTGGTGAAACGTCAGGAAAGAACACTGATGCAGGGAAGGAGAAGAAAGTCATCGAAATAGCAGACTTGGAATTAATCGGTGAGGAGGAAGCTCCCAGACCATTCAAGTCATACAGGAAACACAATGCCCAAGCACTGAACACAACACCTCTGCCAGCTGAGAACAAAAAGCAGATACCTAGAGCCACTCAGGGGTATGAAAGGCAAGACAAGGACACTCAGGAACACAGAGGATTCACAAGGTTAAAAGACAGAGAGAAGCCAGACAGCACAAATAAAGGGAGACTGAGTGGAAGGGAAAGTGAAGTAAACTCTGCAGAGCAGGGGTGGCAAGAAATGGGGAGTGAGGTTTGGTGGGGAGCAAAGGGTAGCACAGAATCTCAGAGCATGACTCCCACAAAGGAGCTGTTTACCTGCCAGGAGGCAGAAAGTTGTGAAAAGTCTTCTGCCTCTGAGCGTGGTATTACAGAGGAAGCAGAGGCAGGTATAGCTTATATAATTAAAACAACATCAGAAAGTGCTCCAGAAAAAATGTCTGCCAGTGAAAGAGCAGTAATTGCTAAGGTACCTCCAGAGACTGCACTAAGTGACAGGCCCACAGAGGAAAAGGAAACAGCGTTTGATACACATGAAGGGAGAAATGATGGTTCACATTATGCTCTTTGTCAACTCAACACAGTGGGTGTATTATATGACACTGAATTTGAAAAGGAATCAGTTTTAGGTATTTATAATACATGCGTACATGAAACACCGCAAGGAGAAACGAAGTCTGTATGCAGTAGCAGGGAAAAATGTGCCAAAGCACAACCAGACATGGGCAATATTCTACCTGTGGAGGAAGCAGTAAAGGCTTCTGCTACAGGAAAGAAAGAAGATTTGCAGCAGGGGTTATATTCAGAAGAATCTGGAAGTCCCCTGAGCACCCAGAAGTATCCGTACAATGAGGCAGCAGAAGAGCTCTATAGGGAAGAAAGCCAAGTTGGTATACTTTCCTGTTTATGTGCTAAAGCTGAAACAAAAATGCCACCTTCTGGTGCAAGTACTGTGCCCAGATACCATTCTGGAAGCTCTTCAGTGACATGTTGTGACGGGTCCACTGTGGCAGGAGGTATGGAACAGCTGTATAGGCACTATGAATTCGAAGTCACTGGCAAGGTTGCTGCTGAGTTGGGGTACAATTTAAATCTACCTAATGAAATTACATGCATTAATAAAAATTTCTCTCCTGAAGCTGAAAAAGGAGAAGTACCTTCCACTTCAGACACAGCAATTTCTAGAGAAGGAAGAGGAAGGAATATAGGTCAGTGTTTCCATCAAGCAGAGCTCAAACAGGAGAAATCATGGAGGCCAGAGGTTTTAAATAGTAAGACTACCAAAGGAAGTGGAGGAACAGGCGCTCAATCTGACCATTTAATAACTGAGGGGAAAGTGCTAAACTGGTTTGATGACTCACAGAAAGAAAGCCAGCACATTTCTGATTCTGCAAGTATCTCTAACCAGAAGGGTGAATCACTTAAGTTACCTAGTGAGTCTCCAGGTTTAAAACATATTGCTTTCAAAATATTTTATTTCTTCTTCTTTTCACTATTTGCTGCAACACTCTACCACTATGATTTGATGGTCTGTCTTGCACTCTACCTGTTCTCCTTGTATTGGCTATACCGTGAAGGAGGAAGAAACAAGGAGTCTATCAAGAAGGAATAACATTACTTGTCAACTGTGCTCAAGATCCATGGTCAATAATCTCCAATTCCACCAAAGCATTTCTACTGTTAAATGTTAGAACCAAAGCAAGATTTCCATGGAAGCATCTTTTATTTTAAAGATTGCATATGAAGTTGAGCCTTCGTATAACTAATTAAACTATACAGGACCATTATGTCTGGATCATTAAATATCTATATGAGTATGAGTTCTGAAGCACGCCAAGTTGAAGTGGAGTACAGCTGTTGCTTCTTAGCAGGATAAGAAGAAGCAATGGTTCATATCTCTGTAGTACTTAAACCCACTATTTTCTTGCATTAATTTCTTTTTCAGTAAAGCTTCACATTTTTCTAGGATATTTTTTTTCCTAAGATTCTGTGTAGTACATAACAACACAAGGAACAATATGAAACCTAAGTCAGTATTGTGGTGCTGACATTGTAGTTGATAATCTGCCAGTGTAACTAGCCAATGCTGTGAGAAATGCATCTGTTGTTAGGCTAATATATTTTCCCAAATTTTTATTTCATTATTTTGACTTAGAGCTCCAGTGGTATCCTTGTTTGAAAAATGTAAGGCTTTGACTTCAGTAACGTCATGTAACTTTTGGGATGTAACTGCATAGTAAAATAGACGTGCTGTCTACACCCTGAAAAGATTGAAGGTCACAGCCACAGGCCTCTTACCATTCACTCACATGCATGAATGTTTTTGTTTTTGTAAATGAGGACTGTGTAACATGACTGAAATTTTGACTGAACTGTTATTCCAGACAAAGCCTTTGAATTACATCTTTTTCATCAATGTTGCTTGAGCATATCTACAAAGCATTAAATAAATTTTACAGAGGAATGCTATGACCGTGTGGAGCATGTCTGAATTAGTTTCACTGCTTTTTGGTCTTTTTCTTCTATGGCTTGCTACCTAGAGCTAATCAAATACCAAGAGAAAACACAGGGCATAGCCCTGGTGTTCAGAGAGGCTGCTTTGTGTGGTTTGAGTGAGGCAGAAGAGGCTAGTATCTGCGCTAAGGAGACCCCAGATGGATCCCATGCAACAGTCCTGTGAGGCAAGCACACTGGCACCTTTGCTGCTCCCACGTCACAGGTCATCTACACAGGGTCATGCCTAAATTTCACCCAGAAGGAAAAGGATGGACATGTTATGATGTGCTTCAGCCATTTCCCAGAGGGTAGTCACAAATGCCATCACAGATAGTGTGTTAAAAGAAGCACCAAGGCTGTATAAGGTTACTGGAGACCTAGAATTCAGGAAGGATTAAAGAGTTGGATTTAAACTCTGTTTCAATCTCCTTACTGCCACTGTGAAACACTGTAACTGTGAAAGCCTTGGTTGCAATATATGGCTGAAGCTACATAATGGCAACATTATCTAATTGTTAGCTCTGAAATAAAGCTTTTAAGGTCCATGTAGAACTTACGCATGTTTCAGGATGTTAGGACACTCTGCTACAGGAGGCACCTTGGCTTTCCTGTTCTACATGTGCGCAAAGCTTTGGAGCATTGTGGGAGCAGTGCATTCAGTGGGGTGAGCAAGTGTGTGCATGATCTATTGCTGATGTGTGTGCTGATGGCTGGATACCTGGACAAATTTTGACAGCAATCCATGAATGGGTTATAGTGGTGGACTAAAGGCATTATGAAGTGACACAGAAGGCACTGCCCAATTGTTCAAAGGTATATATAAGCAAAATGTTCATTGAGGTAAAGAAATTAATTCAATAGGCATTAGGAGCTGGATCCAATAAAAAGCTTAGGCTTAGATTTAAAGCAGAATTGAAATTAAAGCAGTGTAAGTCTAAAATAATTGATCACAGACCCTTCTTTAGCTGGATACAGCAAATGCTGAAAGAATCTAGCCTTTCCATGATGCTTATAGGCACTTTCCAAATGCATAACATTGACTTATTTTTGGTAGTTCACTCTGCAATATGACAAGTCCCTGGTGTTAGTGGTTCAGAATTGCAGTCTCACTAGGATAGAGACATCAGGTATTGCTTCACTTCCCAGTATAGTGGAAGCTCTCAAGTAAGTGTCTAATGTATTCTGACAGCATCAAGGTCCTGAGTTAGAGGGTTAAAAATGTGAAGAAAGCACCCTGCATCTGTCCTGCATCACCATGCAGTCAAGTACCAAACTCCTCAGGCAAGAGAGAACAAGGGCATAAGACACATTTTAATCTAATACTTAAAACCACCATGCGAGAAAAAAGAATCTTTAGATACAGTTCCCAGTTAAAAGCCTTCTACAATTTAATTTACCATATAACTATTAAAAGCAAAATTCTTAAAATTTAGAGCAAGGACAAAGCCCAGATTCCTGAGCTGTTAAGTAAATGCTCTACACACTAAACCACAGCATTCAAACCCATGTTTGAATTTCTCTAGCTTTACCAAACCTGGGTCTTCCATCCAGCAGGATGTACTTTACCATTGGACTACTATTATTGTGAGGGTTTGGCAGTACCTTGTGCATAGGTGGGTTCTTACTTTCTCAAACTGAGTTAAGTTGAAAATGTTTCTTATGCTCAGAACAATTGATACTTCACTTTCCATTTCAGGGTAGAGATTTTCATTTGCATCCCAGAGGATTGTTTTATTCCTAGATCTTGTAATATCTGTTTTTTAGAGAAATCTTAATGTGACGTAGTCTAAATGCTTAAGCACAGAAAATAGAAAAATCACTTTAAATGTCTTGGACACAGGACTTGTTGCAAGCAGACCTGAGCAGGTCAGCCACCATGGAAGAGGGAAAGCCTGAATGTGTTTTTTATTGAATCTTGAGGATTCCAAAGAGTACTTTTTAAGGACTATTTTTCTCTTTCATCTGGAAGCATAGACATCCTGAAGCCATTGGAACCTTCATGTGGTGGTTCTCTGTATGTAATGTGCAACCCAAAATATTTGGTTAATTGTCAAAGATTCAGCTCAGCTGACTGGACCATAAGAAAAGGGGTCAGGGATAATTGATGAGCCCAGGACTATGGGAGGAAGAAAGCCATTGAACTGAGTAACTCTCTGGAGAATGGCAGAAAAGTGTTACAGAGAGCTCAGGAGAGTCAATATGACCTGCAAAAAGAATGCAGGGGATAAATAGATAGGATCTATTAATACAGGCATTCATTAAAAATTAGTGGGCTTTTAGTGTGTGTCGTGTTTAAACCAGTTATTAAATATCATCTAAAATTAACTAAATTACTTCAGTCTCTACAGAAAACTGTCTTCAAACAGCTGTATTCCTGTATCCAACCAGTTAAACATCTGGGTTTGCCATTTTACAACATACAGTCATTCAGAGTTGGAATTTAGGGTAAATATTGAATGTTAGAATAAGCATATTTCATCTACACACAAGTGGAATACTGTTAGCATATCTCAGATTTCAAATGGGATTTTATGTACTATATTTAAAATATTTAGTCAGCATATCATACTTTAGGATTTCAAAATAGGACTCTAGACTGATCTGTGAGCACAGGTGCCCGAACTTTTAAGTATTTATGTACTTAAAACAACAAAGCAAGTAATTTTATCTTCTTTTATTTATCATTTGATAAGCTATCTTTTAAAAATCCTCTTACTTTTGTTTGTAGTTTGGAAGCAACACCTTTATAACATTGGCAAAATATTGGGCTTTTACTTTTTTCAGGGAATAAGTGATGTGTGTGGTTTTGTAATCATTCATATTTATCTTGCATACTAGGTCTCAGTAACATATGTAGTAGCCTCTAGTTATTTCTTCAGGCTATGCAACAAAAAGAAGGTACAATCCTATGTGCCAGGTCACAAAAGACTCAACTCATGCAATACAGCCATTAAAAATAATATCATGGAAAAAGGCTTCCTTGCTTTACTACTAGTTATATGAGGTGCGTATACATCCTATACCATGGGAGGTATGTTCACATCCTATACCATGGGAGGTATGTTCATGGCTATTATCCAAGCTGCACATGTAACAAATTAATTTTCATATTGTGGCACCTCTAATCTGTTCAATTTACTTAAATATATACTCAGAGCAGCAGAGAGAGGAGTGGGAAGAATTTCTGTATCCAGATACTTTGCTAGGAGATAGTGAGAACAAGTTACATCATTAATGGCCCAAGCACTTGTTCTTGCTAATTGCTTGCTGGTTCTTATCCACCCGTGGCTCAACAGAGGATAGGCTACAGAAACAAGCTACAGCCTTAAAAGACCTATTTAATATTGGAAATGAAAAAATTAAAGAGGACAGAGTGTGAACTAGATCCCTAAAGGAAGGTCAATATGATAATGTTCAGAGTCACTATACTAAATTTTATATGCCTAATGGTATCTACACCCCTGAGTAAAATACCTAAGCTCTCCAGTCATTGAACATATGAATGAGAACCAAAATAGACAATGTGTTAAATAGGAAGCTGCCAAAGTTTTCTAATAGAAAACCCTGATGGCAGAGTTGGGTCTTACACCCTTGTCCTGCCAGCAGGATTAGTTACTTAATGCTGGGTGTCAGGAACATGCGTTTATCAGGTCAGGTTTCATATCCTGCAGCCTTCTTGTGCACTGAGGTACCTAAACTGCTGCCTTCAGGAACATAGCAGTTTGCAGAAAACAATCCCAGAGTTTTGGGACTGGAGAAAGGAAGATTGAAGCCCCTAAACCATAGACTGGGGAGATATTTGGATATAAACCCTGTTCCAAGAATAAATTGTGTATTTTACGTGAGGTTCTATTTAGATAAAATACAAAACTGACACCAAGGCCTTTATGTCTCCTCAGTGAGGTCTACTACTTTCTTAGTCTATAAAGTCACTCTTGCAGGCCTACATCAGTGCCTCATGAACCAGGACTGGAGAGCTGTTCTAGCCATGAAGGAACTGTGGATGTCTCTCTTAGACTTACAAATGTGCTTAAATCCCAGCATGGTCCTGCTTCAGACAACCATGTCCTTTTGTGAATCCCAGCTAAGCTTTCAAAGACTTGAAGCTCTTCTGAG